CAGTTGGTGTGATGTTGTTAGAGTGTCCGACTTCATGTCTCTTGTAATAAAAACCTGAGTCAACCTGTTTGACGTGAGGCAGTTGTTATAAGTCTTCGCTTGATATTAACAGTTACCATTAATGTTTTTACTAGTTCCAAGAATAGAGTATTGCTAGAGTACTATCATTTTATACTATTGACACTGTTTCAATAATAGTGAATTACCTTAGGGCGCCTTTTTTTGAGGGCTGTAAATTTTGCAGATTTTTTGTAAGATTCGCAAAAATTACCTCTGCAAAATTTAAAGCCCTCGAAAAAAGGTGCCCTACGGTATTGTCTGAAATTTGATTGTTTTTATACCTCGTATTGATTTTAATGATTAAGATATTTGTTATCCCCCTTTTTGTCTGTCTCTTTTTGTTTTTGTTTCTACCTCTCTGTCTTCTTCCTTTTCCCCTTATTTTTCCTCCATGTCCTTTCCCCTTTTTTCCTCTTTGTCTAATTCCACTCATTGTTTACTAGACTGGTCAGGTGATAGGTAGTGTTGGTGATTCAGTTACTGGATCAGTTAGGTGTTCTTAAGTCATCATTCTCAATCAGACTCTGATAATAATGAAAATGTGCTAGTTCATTGTACTAAAAACAGTTGTAGTTAACATACTATTAAAGGACTGCTCCCTTTAGATCACAATAATTACTAAACAAGCCATTGAATTACATTCGTTATGCCCTGTATACTGTTATGAGGAAATGACAAGAGAATGAAAAGCTAATGGGATATGAAGGACATATACACTGCTCACTATTGGCCCTCCCTTAAACATTCATATATGGTGCATTGTTTTTATTGTAAAACCTTCTGGGAGGTGTATTCTTACAAGTGCATGATAAAGTGGTATAGGAAGGTAAACTATGTACAGTAAATTGGGCTACTTGACAATGCTAATTAGGAACTCTGTAAACTACAGACACTCTTTGATAAACTATCAGTCTGTCACACATACTATACTCTATCACATACATTCTTTAATAAACTATTTTGTACTCTATTAAAATTATCACATATAATAAGTTCATGATATTGCCTTCACTCGTGCTGGTAGTGGTAGGGATCTTTTTGCTTCAGTTGGATCAGATGGATCAGTACGCCTCTTTGACCTGAGGTAACACTCACCTGTAAGAATAAACATTACATAATTATGAATTACACTAATAGCGGTATGACAAGAATGATATAAATGATTACTTTGTAACTTTTCTAATTGGATAATATCCTTTTATTGTTAGGAATTTGGAGCACTCCACGATACTTTATGAGGAGCCAAAGCAGCAGCCATTATTGAGGCTATCATGGAACAGACAAGATCCTAACTACCTCTCAACCTTTGCACTGGACAGCCACGAGGTATGACTGAGGAATATAGATCAATATATTGTATTGCATATGGAATGTGAATGTGGTTTACAAGGCAAAATAATGTATACAAATTATAGTTTGGTGCCCACTGACCCATTAATTTTACAAAAATAGTCACTTTTAGCATACAGTATTGTATATAATAATTCACAATCTCAATTCTTTTATCTTATTAGGTGATTATTATGGATATCAGAGCACCTAGTAAACCAGTTGCACCCGTTTTGGTACAATGTCCTAGATATGGTCATGTTTAGTCTCTTATCTTGCATCAATGTAATCATACTCTACAATTATTACCTT